CCATTGTGAACGCACGCGATTGGTGAAGTCGGTGAAAATGACGGATATATCGGATGGAAACGTCAAAGAGTTACAGTAGAGCAGGATAACGTAATCTAGAGCATGATGACGTAATCCTAGGATAGGGCTAGGGCTCGGATAGGGTTGTATTCATGCGACGTTGACGTCATAGGGTTTGAGTTATGGTTGCATACAATTTTACATGTATTGATAATTTTACATGTATTGATTTCGTTAAAACGTACCATGGTTTTATCACAAATGTGAAGTGATCGACCTGTGAGTTCTAACGGCTCGACACGGGATTGGAGAATATGCAACGTCAACGGGTAGAACTCTGAATTGTTAACTAAAAGCTCAGAACTGAGTTTTCTTCTGTAGGCTACACATGCCTGTATCAACACCACGACGGCGGCATGCAGTTGCGGCAGCGGTGGACGGTCTCACAGTTGCGTTCGTGACAGTGACAGCAAAGCTGCAAACGGCACTGGCGTGCCAGGACCGCGTTTGTGCTGGACTGTGGTGGCGACGCGTGTAGCATCGCGGCGAACAGTTTAGTGGTGTAGCGCACAGTGGCAGCATTCCGATATGAGGTAGTGGTGGCGACGGTGGCATGTGTTGGCAACCGTGGCGTGTGGTGGCAGTAGCACAGTGGCAGCATTCCGATATGAGGTAGTGGTGGCGACGGTGGCATGTGTTGGCAACTGTGGCGTGTGGTGGCAGTGTTACGGTAAGCGTTGTAGTGGTGGTATTTCGAGGGGCGGTTATGGTGGGGATGGTGCTGTGTAGTGGACGCATTGCGGTAAGCGGTTGTATGGCGTGTAGTGCTGTGGCGGCATTTTGGTAAGCGGTTGTGGTGGGATGATGGCGTGTGGTAGCAGCGTTGTGGTAAGCAGTTGTTGTGGTGTGCAGTGGCATTGCAGTAAATGATTATGATGAGGGTGGCAGTCTTTAGCCGCAGCTACGTAGTACATCCGTGACGCGTACTCAGTACTTAATACAGTAATATCAATTCGTTCTACGTAGTACATAGTGCATACTGTTATACCCAGTGCATCAATCACTACTACTACAGTACTGAAGTACTACTGAGGGAGGTACTTAGACTACTTCGAAGTATCCAGAATACTACGTAGTACTAAAGTACATGTTAGTATACTTATAGTAACACTACACGTCAGTCCTTAAATATATAAGCTGAAACAATTATTTTAATAGCTACCAAGTTAACTGTAAGTCAAATTTAAACCGTGTTAGTTGAACACTGTTTTAATATGCTGTTAGTTGATTTCAAATGTATTCACAACATTCGACCGCTTTTGCTGTATACGCGGTTATTAACCCAGCCCCTAACCTATCCCTATCCTTAAATTACATCATCGTGAACACCGTTTTAGTATGCTGTTAATATAGTTCATTGTAACCTACTTGAAGTATTAACAAAATGATCATGATGAATCGGGATTAACCCAACCCTGACATATCCCTACCCTTGGATTATATATTTTAGGATTACGTTATCCTGATGTAGTATTGCTGCCAGACATGTCCAAGCGACAGGGCTTTCATTTGGATCTACATCTTGAGGTTTATATCAGTGTCAATAAGTGGGCTTACGACAATGCTACCCAAGCAGCCTTCAGCAAACAAGCTTGGCAAGCGAAGGGCACACCCGCAAACGCCCAGCGCCGAAACCCAACCAGTAACCAGTGTGCAAAGCCCAAGGATGTTGCAGTCAACATCTAGCGAGCGAGTGAACAAGTTTGGCAAGCGAAGGGCACACCCGCAAATGCCCAGCGCCGAAACCCAACCAGTAACCAGTGTACAAAGCCCAGTGATGTTACAGTCAACAGCTAGCGAGCGATTTACACTTTCGAATCAACCTCTGTCGAAACGAGCCAAGCGATTTTTGGATGAAGTTCAAGCACTTCGGCAGCAATTTGGGGTACTGCCTTCGTCAAACACATCGGCCCAATCACAGCCTCGGTAAATCATAATACGATGCAGTAGTAGGTGGCATTGGAATCACTAAATAGAGGACACTAGGCATATTGAGACCCCATTCGGAACATTTGTCCAAGAGGGCGCAACTGTCGACACTATGCCTGCACGAAATTCATTGTCGGTCCCTGCCAATGTTCCAATGATATCTGCGAGTTCTACTGTACCTGCACGACTACCGGCTGTCAATGACAATATGACATCCGCAAGTATGGTTGTACCTGCGCGGTCGTCGTCAACTTCCTCCAATACGAATGTTTGTAATGCTGCGAGTTTCACTGTGCCTGCACGTAAGATTTGATAAGCTTTGTTCTTACATCACAATATTGTTTAGAGTTTGCTCGAGCGAAAGCATTCCAGCCATTAGAAGATGTGGATGAAAGGCGAACACCGTACCATGAAATTGTACCAGCGCTTTCTCTTCAACATCGCTGCAAGTTTTGCAGTGCTTTGTTATGGGCTTCGGAGCAAGGAAAAACCAAGCAAACTCCGTGCTGCATGGACAATACCATCAAACCTTTGGATGAGCCTGTGTGGCTGGACATGTACGAATCTCAAGTTGCGCGGGGTCAATACAATGATTCGAATCCATGTACCGAAGCTGAGTACTCGGCTGATATGCAATGGTATATCAACACATTTAAGTCTAGCATATTTGCTGAAGCATCCAAAAAGTAAGTTGCATTGGTAATCGAGAAATCGCAATCTTAATAATCTTTGTTTAGGCTCAATTCTCTGTTTGCGTTTACGTCCATTGGAGCGAACGAAACCCAACTTCCTCCTGGCCCCCCAGTGTACAAGATACGAGGCCAAATGATCCACCGCATTGGATCTTATGAGCCATTGAACGGGAAGCCAAGAAGCTTTGCTCAAGTCTATGTACTGGACTCTGACGATCAAATGCAATTGCGTACTCGTATGGCGTCCAATTTGAATTGTTCGGCCGCTGAGTTGATCATTGCAGAACGAATGCAATCACTTATTTCAAAGCATAATGCCTTTGCGACATTGTAAGTTAAGTTCAACTTGCATACTAATATTTAGTAATCAACAAAGTAACATTAGGTTTAAATCGCTATCTGGCGACGTCGAACGACTGCGGCAACAACGCGATGTTGAAACCACAGTGGATCCGTTTGAAGTACGAATTACTATTCGACCCCGTCGTGGACGAGACAGTCGGGCGTTCAATACCCCACAAGCGGCAGAGATTGCTATGTGTATGGAGTACGAATCGGAGAGTGTTGGCCGTGATATCGTAGTCCTGCCACGGTACGGTCAATTACAGCGTGTATCTGAGGTGTCTACGATGTACGAGCCACTGCAGTACCCTGTACTATTTCCACTGGCAGAAAGTGGATGGGGTTTGAATATGCAACGAGACCCTGATGCAGTGCCCGACGCGTCAGGCAAGTCTCCGAAGCGGCTCTCAGTGCTCAAGTACTCCAAGTACAAGTTGCATCAACGCTTGCCGTTTTCTCCACTGCATTGCGCTGGCAAAGTTGGTTTGCAATATTGGACTGATCAATATTGCCGACATGAAGTGAATGCATTGCGTTGGCATCGCGAGCACCAAGACACCATACGCGCAGACACGTATACGAATGTACGTGATGCCATGGCTGGAGACTTCGATCCGGTGGACGTTGGAAAACGTATCATTTTACCAGCAACGTACAAAGGCAGTGATCGTCACCGATCTCAGAAATTCCAAGACTCGATGGCTTTGGTGCGACGATATGGAAAACCGTCACTTTTTGTGACAATGACGTGCAACACGAAGTGGAAGGAAATCAACGATGCCTTGGCGTTTTTGAAGACGTTTGCTGGCAGTACGGACGCTCAACTTGCTCACTATCGTCCGGACATTGTCAACCGAGTGTTCCACATGAAACTTCAGCAATTGACGAAGGCAATCGTTAGTGGAAACGAGTTTGCGGGCATTACGTACCTAACGTACGTCGTTGAATTTCAAAAGCGTGGGTTGCCCCACGCACACATCTTGATTGGATTAGCGAACAAAATCGAACACCCAAGCGAAATCGATGGATTTGTGTCGAGTGAAGTGCCAAACAGAACTACCCAGCCGCGCCTTTTTGAAATCATTAACAGGCACAATCTCCACAACTGCGATGGTCGATGTATGGGGAGAGATGGGTTTTGTGAAAAGGGATTTCCCAAGCCATTTTGCGAGACTACCACCTTTGATGCGAACAAATTTCCGTTGTATCGCCGTCGAGAACAAAATGCGTTGAACGCTAGAGTCGTTCCGTATTCTCCGAGGTTGTCGCTGAGATACAATTGCCATATCAATGTCGAAATCTGCACATCGATATTGTGTGTCAAATATTTATACAAGTACATATTCAAAGGTATGAAGTAATTGTACTGAGTTATAATTGACGTAGAAATGTAGGCCCTGACATGGCGGATGTCGAAGTGGACTTGAACGATGAAATTAACATCCACGAGTCCATGCGATATGTATCTTGCACTGAAGCTGTTTGGCACATCCTGGGTTTTGAAACGCACTGGAGTACCCATGCAGTGGAGTCTTTGCCAATACATCTAAGCGGGAAGCAAGCTGTTCAATGGCGAGAGCTCGAGTCGCCAGACGACATTGGCTCACGGGGAAAGCAAACAAAGCTCACTCGCTTTTTCGAGTTGTGTGCAAAGTACTGTACCCAGCCTGCCATGTCAACTCTAAAATACGTCGATGTCGTGGAGTACTTCGTTTGGAACCAACAGCAGCGAAATTGGACCCCGAGAAAAGTCAAGACCAAGACAATTGGCCGTATTCACGCTGTGACCCCCAAGGACAAGCCACGGTATTGCCTTCGGATGCTGTTGTTACACAAAACATGTCCAATCTCGTACGAGGACCTACGAACTGTGGATGGAGTGGTTTACCCCACCAATGAGGATGCATGTATTGCGCTGGGGCTCCTTGCCAACGACATTGAATGGGACAAGTGCTTGGCCGAAGCAACGGAATTTCAATTGCCACGAAGCCTTCGGAACCTGTTTTGCATCATATTGATGTTTTGCAATCCGACCGATGTGAAGAAGTTATGGACTGACCATTACGTTGCATTGTCGGACGATTTCCGATATCGGTTGTCAAGCAAACGGGCAAATGTGGATGAAGTTGGCCAACGCGTTCAAGTTCTTGGCTTTACATTGACTGAAATTGACAAGTTTCTTCGGTCCATGGGATCAAGTTTAGCGTCATTTTCAGACACTGGCAAACTCCCAACAATCCCGGACGAATTTGTCGCAGACGCTGCATTGGACCCGAATCCATTATTGGCCAACGAAATGAGCTACGCTCACAATGAAGCTGCGAAGCTACGACGAATTCGAGCCAATCTCTCGATTGGCACTGCCGAGCACATCGCTTTTTTCAATCGAGTAATGGGCGCCATCGACCACCCTTCCAATAGCAACCTGTTCTTTTTGGAAGGCGAAGGCGGGTCCGGAAAGACGTTCATATGCCAAGTCTTGCTGGCTGAAGTACGCCTCAAGGGAAAGATTGCTCTACCCGTTGCATCGTCTGGATTGGCTGCATTGCTCATGATGGGTGGACGTACTGCCCACAGCAGATTTGGCATTCCAACGTCGACACCATCAAAAGAAATGTCCTGCAACTATACAGTTCAAGCCGATTCCTCTAAACTGCTTCAAGCTGCAGACCTCATCATATGGGATGAGATTTCATTGGTACATCGTCATATTATCGAAGCTGTGGATCGGATGTTTCAGGACATCATGAAAGTGCGTCAGCCATTTGGTGGAAAAGTCATCATCTTTTCCGGCGATTTCAAGCAGTTATTACCAGTAATCCCTCGTAACGACGCCATGGCATCGGTTCGTGCAACGCTCCCTCGGAGTACATTGTGGAAAGCTATCCAAAGAAATCGAATTAAGCTCACAGCCAACATGCGACTACGAGCGGATGGATTGTCGCCCTCGGACAAGGCTGAAATGGTTGCATTTTCCAAGTTCCTCATCTCCATTGGTGAAGGGACAGCCCGAACAATCAATGGATCTGTACAACTTCCTAATGGAATTGCTGAAAACTACAATGGACCACACAGCTTAGACAAGCTGATCGCTCAAATCTATGCCGACTTGACTCAGCCGAATGGATATCGTTCGTGGTCGTTGCCTACACGACAAAAGTATTTGTCAGAGAGAGCTCTGTTGGCCCCCAAGAACTACATTGTCACCAAGCTGAATTTGACCATTTTGCAAAGTATGCCGAGTGTGGCTCGGGAGTATTTTTCTGCCGACTCCGTTGTGGATGACGGCAGTGGAAGACCAGCTGAACAAATGGCAATCCACTTCCCCGTGGAATTCCTGAACACGCTGGAATTGGGGGGGTTTCCTGAACATGTCCTGCGTCTCAAAGTTGGGGTTCCAATCATTCTTTTACGGAACCTTTGTCCAGCAAATGGATTGTGCAATGGAACCCGTCTAATTGTCACTGAGCTGCACGAGAATGTCATTCGTGCTCGAATTGTTTCGGGTGATCATGCTCAAAATGATGTGGTCATTCCAAGAATCGATTTGATCGGGAATCCCAACGACTCGTGGCCATTTGAACTGAAGCGGCGGCAATTTCCTGTCCGACTTGCCTTTGCCATGACAATTCACAAGAGCCAAGGCCAAACATTGAAATATGTTGGGATATACTTACCCGAGCCAGTATTTTCGCACGGTCAACTATACGTTGCGTTCTCTCGGGTTACGTCGAACAAGAATGTCCACGTTTTAGTCCATGACAGTGACATACCAGGAGAAGATGGCATATGGACACCAAATATTGTTCAGCGTGAAGTATTTAATAATATGTAAACACGAACTGTGTAAATGTTCGACTTATAGTCGCCATGGGATACAGTAAATATGCATAATACAACTACATCGTACTGTAAATTGATTTAAAGTTAACCCAAAGTTAAGGTCAAATATGCACAATTTCATTATAAGCCAGAACAATCAATTTAGTACCACAAGTTAGTCAACATGTTAAAATGAAGTGATGTTTTAGTATATTGTTTGTTCATTTCAACCCTATTAAATTAATCTCCGCGACGTTACTAATTAGTATGTAGTAGTGAATACTATTGACTACTTAAGCTAAACGCAATTCAATATCATGGTGATGTTGATATGTTCATTTAGCGCACAATGAACCTGTTATACGTGGATATCTTAGTCGACATTTCTTTTTTTATGTCCTGGACGATCTTGATCACGATGTCGCTGGAGTCGAAAAAGCAAAGCTGTGTCTTGGACAGTAAGAGTCAGCCGATTGCGATGCAGTGTACATCGGTATGCGGCTTCAAAATGCTCCACAAGGAATGCTTCTGCAGCTCTTTGCAATGCCAATATGGCACTCCCTTGCCATTTCCAATAGCAATATGGGGCATACATGGCGGTTACAATTTGCCGAATAAGTGATTGAAACACCCGTGACGAACAAGCCAGAGTTCCTACAAATATGTCAGTTCCAATATGCAAGAATAATTGATACGTGGTGAATATCGTTTCGAACGTCGTACGGTTACAGATCCAGGCACCACTTGCCTTTCGACAACCACCGCGGCATTCATCACCATTGGCTGTGGAATAGTTGGTTCGTTAGCCAGCCCCGTACTCGGTACATCACATCGTATTGGTACAACGCCCGCCGATTCCGTCGTTCGTTGCAGCACAACTGCCTCGGATTTACTCTACATGTACTTTGTTTATACCTATTGATAACTTTAGTATCACATGACTCACCTCATCAGCACTATGGTGAAGTCGTTCGTACATTGGAGGAGCAACACGATACGTATCCATTTGCTCCAATCTTACTGCGGCCGCTGCTTGCGCCACGGGATTTGACAAAATTGGCCGAAACCGTGCTGGAGCTTTTGTCCGTGCCATGTCAGTTGCCTATTATGTGTAGCTCTGTCCCACACAGAGCATAATTATCTCTAATTAAGTATCCAACGAACTGTGTG